ACAGTGTGAGGTTCATGTGCGCAACTCCTGGTTCGACTGGACAGTTCGAACCACGGTCCCTCTTTTGAGGGTGTTACGCAGTGGTCAGTTGCGCCTGCCCGTGACACACAACAAGCAATGTCCAAAGGTACTGACAATCTTGCACTTGAGTTGCTTACTGAGGAAGCTACAGTGATGCCCGTAGGCCTAAAGATCGTAGACTATATACAGCTTCCTCCCCCAGGTACCTCCGTACCTGCGATCACTGCGATCACCTTCTTGGCGGTGATCCTGGTGAGCCGCTCACCGCGCTCACTTCCTTAGCGGTGATCCCTCTTGCAAGCCCCACCTCAGCTTTCCCCTGGTGTTACGCCTCTTCATTGGCTTCCGTCGCCCCACCAGGCCTCGATATATGGTTGGTTCGTGACATGATGTCAGAAGGCTGTGTCTTGCCGCCGCATCTTTTTGGCTGGCTCCTTGACGGACCTCATCTATGGGCGGCTGAATTAATTGCTCGCGTACTGATTGCATGTCAAATTTGGCTTGTTCGGCCCAGGAATGATAGAGTTATGCTGAGATGAAGAGAGGTGGTGTTTGCATGGTCATGTGGATCGCCGATCCGGTTGTGGGTCAAAAAATTCGGTAGGTGAGAGTGTTAGGGTCATATTAGGCGAACTAGTCAAGCCAACCAAGACAAGCCAAGCTAAGCCGGGCTTAAAGTAATTTTGGCCGGCTTGGCTTGGCTTGGTTGGCTTTGGCTTATGCGAGCCCTCCCTGCCTGCATTACAATCCTACCGGACGACACGCACACGCCGCGGTCGCACCTGCGCAATTTTCTGACCATCCCGCAGCAGTTCATGGTGACGTGCCTGCAGCTCGCCAACTACAGCGTGCCTACCGCCGCTGCCGCTGCCGGTGTGGTGGTGGTAGACTTGGACGAGTTGGGGCTGGAGGGGAGGTTGGCGCTGCTGGACGATATGCAGACGGTTGCGGTCCGCGACAGGTCCACGACGCGGTTCCTTGCGCTGCGCTGGCTGGTGTGGGCTTACATCTGCCGGGGTGGCGGTGGTGGAGTGTCGAGGAACGACAGGGACACGAACCGCGCCACATCTGGCAACAAGACGACAGAGAGCGCGCCAAGCGCCGCTTTCGTTCTCCGCAACCCTCGCAGGGCAACATTAATTCCAACGTGACACCTTACTGGATGGTTGCGTCGATGCAAGCACAAATTGGGCGGCTTCTCACCGAAAGCGAGTTGCAAAGCCGCAGAACAACCCATGCCTTGCAGGAGCGTCCGTTCGCATGCAGCATCGTGTCCAGATGGGTTTCAAGGCAGCAACTCCCTACTATCGCCTCTGTGTCCCACCAACGCATACTCTAGGATACGCACCCAGAACCCGACGCGTTCTCCGTTTTCACGCCACCTCATTCGTCACATTCCCTGGTCTTTTCTCCACTCTGCTCCACCGCTCTCCACTCGACCTCGACGCGCTACGGTCCCGATCCGGTACTCCTAGACGCATTCCTATCGGACCTTATCACGACCCCTGCCACCTCGACGCACTCCGACCGCTATGCTTGCTGATTCGCTGAATGAGCTTGGGCATGCCGAAGAGGGAAAGAGCATGCCAAAAA